GAGCTTTAATAAGTTGTACTTACGCACAATCTACTTGCAATCTTGAGTTTTAAATAATATGCATTAATAAGCAGTACTGTACACATAAAAAATGATTTTTATGAGTTTTTGTCAAATGCTTTATAATATAGTATAGATATAGATTATGATTTTCATCCTGGTAAAAGTTACTATTTTCGTCCTCATTAGTTTCCATAATAATAATTTCATTTTTATATTTTACAATTTATTGTTCTTTTCGTCCATAATACTAACTCTTTTAATCTCTATGTTATATTATAGAACATTTGATAAATACTCTTAAAAACCATTTTGTATGCATGATGTACTATTTATTGGTGCATATTACTCAAAATTTGAGGTTACAAGTAATTGTGCGTAATTACAATTTATTAAAGTTACAAGTATGAATTCGTGTAACTAACTGCAGATAAACATAATCAACTACAAGATAAACATCTCATTTTAAGTATAAAAAGTCTAAAATATAATTAGAATAATCATTGAATTCTAACAGAATATTTAACTATTATCTTTATAAAAAATTGTATTGTTAAACCAAAAATAAATTACTTTGTTATTAAATCTAAATTAAATTATAATAAAAACTTGAATTAAAAAAAATTACACCAAAAAACGAGAATTATTAAATAGTTAATTTGATACTAATATCGATTTAATTTTTTTCAAATTTATATTTCATTCAAAAATAATAACATTATCGATTTCTTAAAACCACATAAAATCATATTATATCAATCGAGACAAAGAATAAAAATAAATATTAAAATCAAGATTTATCTCGTTGCATTACACGAGTACTTTTCTAGTATATATGTATAAACTTAATGTATATATTTGACCATTCATTTTCTTTCCATGTTAGTGATTAGCAATATAAGGTGAAGAATAACTTCTCTCAATGCAAGATGTTTTTGGATTCAAATCAATAGTGTGTATACCATGGAGGCATCCAGCTTTTGTGGGTTTTTGTGATTCAAAATCTTCTTCATGAGGTACATATTTCAAAATATTCGTTCTACCTTGTTTCATATGAATTACAACTTTTATTTCCGCTATCACGAGACATTGTAACCCAACAATGACTACATACTCAAAAGGGTATAAGAATTTATATTGCTTCATACGACTTAAATAAAGATTGATGGTTGTTTTACCACGTTAGACGTAGTTTCTACATAGGTATAATTGTGGGGTGTTAGATGATTACATATTTGATGTAGCATTTTCATTGTTCATTTTGACTCTTTAAAAAAAAAACACGGATGCTTATAGGGGTAGACACCCTAACTCTTGGTGCAAAATCATATAAAAAAGTTTTTTATACAAAAAATAAAGCAAAAAGCCAAAAGCTCCTATCCGTGACATAATTCACGGGGTGTTTGGGATTGTTTATAAGAACAACTTATTGACTTATTCCGGTGTGACACCAATGGTAAGCACTTTTGAGTGTTTGAATAAACAGTTTATACCGATGCCAAACAGGTAATAAGAAGTTTTTGTAAAAAAAATACAAGTTGTTTCAAATAAACAATCCCAAACACCCCTTAATCTTCACCACTCCTTAATCTTCACCACTGTCTCCAAATCCCGTCACATAACTACTTTTTCCTTTATTTTAGTTTTTGTTTTTTTTTCTAAATAGGAAAAGTCTAAAAGAACTAAATACGAATAGAGTTATATGTTTATTTGGTGAATATGTTTTAAGTTTTGCAATTTAAAAAAAAAGAACTCAAATTCTAGTTTAATTGACTGTAAATATTAATATTGAATAAATGGTATTTTGTTTGGATTTTTAAAGATGGAGTCGTTAATTTCGTATGATCTTAGGTTCAATAATGAACAAGAAACGAACTGTCGATTATATTCTCAAACGAAAAGAATGTGTTATTGATGACCAATAATCACATCCCAACGGTGCTAATCTTGTGAAAAATACGTTAAGTTAAGATGTAAGTTTCTTTCGTTTCAAAAGAAATTTGTTTGAAATCTCTTCTAAATCACATGTTGTTCGAATATTATACTTATTGTTGTCATTTTACGATCTCAGGTTGTCCAACCCCCTATTCTTAATTTCCAGCTCCATCGTGTTTATAGGATTAAAAAAACGTAATTAGTTGTATCTTGGGTTTGAAGGTTATTTTAATCTTGAGATTGTTCATCGAATCCGTTAGTGAATGAAGACGTGCGATTTCCATTAATAGCTTCCAAAACCCGATCGAGAATTGACCAAGTTATTTGAATCAAATTCTCGAATGGAATCGGGTGTTGTTGAGTGCCTTTGATCCACAAATCAAGAGCTCGTGTCTTTTTTTACAAATAAATTTTGATGACACGGTTATGTGACCAAACTAGTTCTCTCATTAGTAGTTAAAATAAAATATAACTCAAAAAGTAGATTGTCGTCATGATTTATTGACACTTTATGAAACGTGTTTTAAAACACTTTTCAGAAAGTGTCTCATAAAGAAACTTATATAATAATTTATTATTTAAGTTTTGTACAACTTGATTCTAACAACTAAAAACTTACAAAGTCTCTTAACTCCGTCATAACAATTTATTTCAACGTTTTCGTACAAGACGCACTTGTCAGGTGAACCTAAAGCCCACGACCGGGACCAATCATAACTTATAAATCTCATAGGCTACCATTTATTACGATTTTTGAAGTTGGACCAACTACGAGGCCTGGTCCAAGGACTCGCCAAGGTCCGTTTAGTGTTTTGGTGTCTTAGGGACCGTTTACTAAACGCTTAGCTGGTACGTTTTTACTGGGTAATTTTTCTTACCGGATGAACATCACAGTGGTAAAAAATCTTACCCGGTAAGAGCAATAATAAAGATGAAGAGCCTTACTCAGTAAGTGAAGATGACGACTCTTACCCGAGTAAGCGCTTATCGGGTAAATTGTTGCATACGATAGCATTTTGATGTACTACAATCTCATCTACTAGAATAAATTACAGTGTTGACTCCTAATGATAAGCGCTTACCGGGTGAACATTTAGGTAAACGGCTCCTTAGTCACCAAATGGTCGTTATGGCCGTTTTCTTTTACCCTTTTATTTTTCTGTAATTTTTTGCTAAAGGGGTTGTTTGTTTACATCTTAATGATACCATTAAGAGGTAAGGGTTTGATTCGGTCAGACATTTTCTTGTTTGGATAGGTGTTTAAAAAAGTCTGAAAGAAAACTTTAGCTCTGAATCGGTCCTTCACCCACACGCCCTCCATACGATTCAGACGTGATATTTTTCCAGGTTTGCCCTCCCTTTTTCTCTAAGACCACCCACATGGGAGTTTCAAATCCACTTGCAAATCCTATTTTGTCATAATCAACCATGCCACATAGGAAACCAATTGCAAATTTTGCAATTCATATTGAAAGCCACGTGGCCATCAACTCCTCTCCAAATTCTTTTTTTTTTCTGATTATTTAAATAAATTATTTTTTATAATATTAATATATTTATTAATTACATTAATTA